TATATATATATATATATATATATATATATATATATATATATCAACATGAAAAATTACCAATTGAATTATCAAAAATTATCAGTAGCAATACCACGAAACCTCCAAAATTATCGGATATTTTCCGATTGTTTTGTTGCGTAGCAACGAGAGGGAGAAGTTTTGCAGATTAAACTCGTGCAAAACTTATCCCGATCGTTGATACGCAGGAAAACATGAGGGAAATGTTCGATTAATTTTGGAGGTCGATTGGTGTTCGACGGATTATTTTTGGTAATCGGATCCTTCCCAAACCGACCCATTTTGACTTTCTTCATAACTTTCTTTTACTCCCCAGGATAATATTTGACAGTTATTTGGTTAGAGAAACAATTGCAGAGCTAAAGGGAAATTATCAAAAGCTAGGGGAAAATAACCGCTGTAATTTTAATTGGGAAGTCCTTGATGTTATTGAATACTGGACTCTGATTGGCCCAGGAAAGGTCAGATCCCATTACCAAAAATAATCAGTTGAATACCGTGTTGACTGTATGAAATAACAGTCGAATAGTGGAATTCTATTAGCTGAAATTTAGATGGAAAGAATTCTCGCACAAATTTCACAGAACTCCCGAATGTTCAAAAAAAACTAGAGGAAATGTTATGGAAAATACAAGGAAATTTTGGAAAGTGTTAGAAAAATTTCAAGTTCACGGAATTGTCGAATGGAATTGTGAAAAAATAATGAATAAAGAGAGAGGATACTCCAAATTCATGTAAAGGCATCAAAATTGGTTACATAATATTAACTAAGAAATTACTGAATGCGTCTGTAGAGGATCAAAGTAGAATGAAAAGAGGGATTCAATTTATAATGATATCAAGAATTTATCCAGTGAGCACACACAGAGAAAAAAGTGGACCGGCTTCACAAACTAGTTTCTATCTTTCAGAAACTCCTATTCTTAAGCTTTATTCCTGTCGGTGTCAAAAGTAGAGACCACTCGAAATAAACGTCTATAAGTCAGTGAAAAAAAATCGTAAAAATATGAGACCAAATACACTGTGTAATAGAAGTATTTCGCTTGCCCAATACGGAGTTTCAAGTTTTTAATTTGATTAGTTTATTTATAATCGCTGTGAGAAGCCGAAAAACCCCCCGATTTTCAGGGTCCGTAAAAGTCGGCAAACTTTGAACCGCTAGCAAACGTACGAAATTTTTTTTTTTTAAATCGTCAATTTTTTCAGAGATTCGTATAACCCCTGAGAAGCCAACCAGGGAAGAAAAAGATCGAAATTGCGATAATTATTCATTTTATTCATAGAAATGTCGACTGCGGCTATTTCGTTGTAGAATTGCTGAGCCGACCTGAAAAAAAAA